CTCATTAATCTACAAGTTACTTTTTAGTTCTGATGTAGAGTTTATTTAATTTTGGTTAGAGGTTTATAATTTAGTTCTAGTTAGTTTGTTAAGGAGAATTATGTTCATTCTATAAGTTACTTTTTAGTTGTTCTGATGTAGAGTTTATTTAATTTTGGTTAGAGGTTTATAATTTAGTTCTAGTTATTTTGTTATGGAGAATTATGTTCATTAACCTAAAAGTTACTTTTTAGTTCTGATCTAAAGTTTATTTGATTTTGGTTAGAGGTTTATAATTTAGTTCTAGTTATTTTGTTATGGAGAATTATGTTCATTAATCTATAAGTTACTTTTTAGTTCTGATCTATAGTTTACTTAATTTTGGTTAGAGGTTTTTAACATTCGATAGAGTAGTTTTTTGCAAGTATTTGTTAACTTAAGGTATCATAGAAATTCAGTTTAAATTGATTTATTAAAGTTGGGTTCCTCTGAATATCGCGCAAAGCTACTCGAGGGCTATCTACGCTAGTCGTACCTAATTTAGCAGTGATCGATGGGAAGACAGTTGGTTACCACCATCTCTTGGGTTACTCTCTTAACAACGAATAGTGAGATTGGCCGTCACATTATAACGCTTACACGGCCGAAATGGCGAGTATGTTCAATGACAGGGATTCGAACACAATTTATTAAAGAAACAATTGTAGTAGAGATCGTTTTTCTCTCTCATGCATATCTGAAATATGATACAGAAATATAAGCAGCATTTGGTAAAATAAATTTGGATTTATTGTGTAGCTCATGAGTATATCTACTTTCTCAAAATTTAATGATTTTTAAATTGAGTGGGTCTTAACTAGAGGTTAGGGTGCCAGGTGGTGAGTCATCAGGCTCTAGGCTCGAGCCGTGATGAAAGGCGTCAAACAAATAAGGCAGAAATGGACACATTCCCCCCATATTTTTACTTACTGTATCTACATTATTATTAACAACTATATTAGATTGACAAAATGATCAGTTCATGTTGAGATATTTGCAATTGCAAGATAGTACAATGCTAATGGCATAACAAGATTTTCAAATGCTGTTTCATTGGTGTTCTTTGTGATGTAACACTAAAAATGGTGTTTCATTCGTTTGTCAGAGCTTCTTAACCATGGTTTATAATAAAAGTTCCTAAGCGTTTTTTGCCCCTCCAATTTCCAACAAAGTTAGCACCCTTGGCCATGATGTGCTGTTGAACATGCTTTGCACTTTTATCTGTATTGTAACGGTGACAGTCAATTCAGTTATTTGGTTAAGGGTAGCTGCGTAAGTGGTGGATATTGCTGTTTTGTTGTCTTCCCTCTGATTAGGAACGACTATGCATGAAGTTAAAGATTTATAACCTGGTCGTTTAGCCCGTATGTTGCATATGGTGTACAGGTTGAAAATACCAAATACCAAAACTTGGAACTTTGGAATATTGTTTGGGTAAAATATAACAACAAACTAAAAAAATACCAAAGACATAACCTTTGGAGAAGTAATATTCAAGATTTATATAATCATGTCATACATATACCATGCAATTTGTAAAGTTAAAAGAAATTTAGAGTAAAAACTTACTGAATTGTGTTTTTATTTTTTATTAACAAACGCTAAACATGCGCGATGATAAAATCTGTCATTTGATTTTCTAAAACACAGTTAGTTTATAGTTATATATATTTGCCATTATATTGTATTTGAATAATGAAGTGTAAAACATATCTTAACAATAACACATATAGGGTTCAGTTAATTTTATTTAGATGTACATTGTTTTTAAAATAATGGATTAACGTTTTGTAGGAGTTTCTTGATGAAACTTCTCTGACATTTAGAAACAAAAATTATCATCAAAATGCGTTTGTTTCGGACTTCTAGAAATAATAAAAGATTTATAAAAAATACCCACGAAGGATATCGAAATGTGAGAGACACGATTATTCTTCGTTGTTTTATATTTTAGTAACAATAATAAAAAATTGTAATATTCTCGATTTTTTATTATATTAAAAAGTTAATATTTCAAGTTTTCAAATATGTTATTGAAAAATGCTTTGGTGACTCGAAACATTTATTTTTTACTTATTGTTCTAATACTGTAAACAAAAATATAACATTAAAGATACATATGTATTTATGAGACAGTTTTACTGAAGCCTTATAGACTACTGTATAAACCAATCAGTCCTACAAGTCTTTGAACACACATTAACCTAATGATTGAAGCTCTGGAAACTGAAGATGTGCACATAAATATGGGACGTTGAGAAATGGCCCAATTATGAGTAATTGCTAAGAACATAAACAACCAACAAAATTTAATAAGCATCGTTTTAATTATTTTGCCTTAGGTGAACTTTGCTAATGCGTTCAAGAGTATAACTCGTTACCTTTGTTAATATCAGTGCCCTTGTGTGCTCAGACATCAGGGCGATGTTAAAAACATGCAGTCTAAACCATAAACATTAAAACCTGTTTTATGAAGTTTGTCGCACAGGACTAATTACAGTATCTTGAAAATCATGGGGTAAAAATGGTCACAAAGAAATATAGAATTAAATCAAGCAAATATGCATATAGTTGCTACAAATATATATTTTAATATTAAACATAGCATATTACCAGATTTAACCATTTTATTCGTTAGAATTAGGTGGTCAGAATAACTATGTGTTGACCGTTATTCTACTCGAACGTTGGACAAACAAGAAAAATGGACTTTCATATTAATATTACGTAATCTGAGAATGACAGTTACCAGATGGCCTTCTTAGCAGTCAATGTTTTTAACCGATACAGTGAACGTGATATCTTGTCTTTTGCTTTGATCATCCTAATGAAGACAATTAAAGATATATCCGACGATTATGATCAACCAAGTCACAAGTTATGTAATTTGGTTTGGAGCTAAAATGTAAGTCTGCATGATGCCAAGTTATAGTAGAAATAATAACAAATACTTAGAGTAAAGAAATCTATATAAAATTGCCTAGAGAAGAAATAAGTTTTCATCTCGTTCCCTCCATAACAAACTTAAAATAACTGATATTTAATCTAGATACATATGGCTACATATTCTCTTCTTTTTGAGCTCAATGGTATAAAGTACCATGCTCATAGTTTCCATGTGAATACATATCCAAATTTGGTTAGGTTCCAAGACAAGTAGGCTTGTTTATTGGGGAAGGGGTGATTTATTTAATCTCCCCATATTTGTTAGTCTTTATGAAACCACAGAGAAGATCGTGATGAACTTCAGTAGCAGTCTCCACTTATCAGTTCGAGATACGTCATGATGGTTAACTCTACAGAGAAGACGCAGTTACACATGTGTTCTATAATTGAATAACAAGTTGTGATTTAAAAAAAATATTTCAACTTGTTGCACTATTTTACTTAACTGTTAATTTTTTATATTTGGATACATAGTACAAGCAGCAGTTGAAACAGGTATAATAAGATCTTTCAAGACATTTTGAGAGTAATTTTATTTGGTGAGACGAGTAGAAAGAAAACAACAAATAAACTCGACGTTTTCTGCGCACGACAAAATATTTATAAAATCAAGCAAAGAAACCTACAAAAATACAGTATATTCAGAAATACATGAAAACTATTGCCCAGCTGTTTGGGGCATTCCAGGATTGATTTTCTAAAATGTTATACGATTATGAAATCATTCTTCAGCACTGATTTCTGTCCACAGAACATGATCATTTCAAAAGACCAAATGTGAAATTATTTGAATATTTCCTTATTTTTCAAATGGATAATAGAATTTAATAATAGTTTCATGAACATCGGGTCGTAATAGCAATTACAGAAACGTTTGCACTAAAAGTATGGTTTCAAACGATAAAATTGATATTTCCAACCTGAACGGAGCTTTAGATGCACATACTAAAGAGCCAAGTTCCTAATTTTAAACTAACGACCAGAGGGAAGGTGGTCAGTCAGTAGTAGTCAACACCATAAGGACTTTGACCGACTATGAAACGAATAGCGGGATCGTCGGTCACTCCAATAACGAATTCACAGCGGAAAACGGGAATATGTTCAACAATGTCTCAGCGCGAATCTCGAACCTTCTGTTCAGCAGCTAACCATTAACCACGCCCGACTCTCAAACATTGGATTCAATATGCCTAATATTTCTGTACAGAATCACTTTACTGATGTTTTTATGTTTCCCAATTCATACGGATTTCAGGTAAACTCTTGCCTGTCATTGCCCAGCTCGCTTGGTCAGTTTTTGATATTGGACAAAGGCCTTCTGGGCAATGACTTGTGGAAGACGAAAGATAAAATCTCCAGTGTTGTATTATTCGACTCTACTTTGAAATCCCTAATGAATCTATTAAGAAGAATGTGTGAAGATAACAACTGTAGGCTATAATACAATAATGGAAAATAGGATTTAATTGGCATGTCAAAATAAAATAAAAAGTGTTATATAGGTTCAAGTATGTCATATATTTATATATACATACAGTTTTATTAACTTATGGAGTTACAATGTTACATGTATACTTGTTAGTTTTTTAAATTGATTTGCAAGATAGGCAGATCTGGCCGAGTTCGCTAAGCCTCGGCGCGATGCAGAGTGAACCAAGGCTGAGTTTCTGTTTGTTTGTTTGTTTGAATATATCAACAAAGCGACACAATGGGCTATCTGTACTCTCCGCAGACATATCGCTGTGCCACTGGGGGGGCCTGAGTTACTGTTAGTAAAGATCCAGTTTAAAAACCTAATAACAGATATAGTGGCTGACATATTATCATTATACACTCTTCTTTACTTTTACTCAGGAATTCTTATTAATAATTATTATTGAGCCTTTACTTAGGATTATTTCAATTACTGACTTTGGCTTCAAGAAAGTGCAGACGACGAAAATAATTATTTTATAGGAATTTTAATAACAAAACAGCTTTTGCTTCATAAGCATGTAATAAATACTTATTAAATGTTGTAATATCTATTTTTACAGTTACGATTGCCACAAAGGATCGAGAAAATGAAAATAAACAACACCTTCATGTTAAAGGAATGCACAAAAGGAGCTACCACAGGAATATTCTTCTATACTTTTCGCCTCCTAGTGGAGAAAATCCTTCTCAGCTTCGACTCTATTCTGATTGCGATTTCCAGGGTCAAATGACCCTTCCCTTGTCTTTGTTTGAAGTGGTCCAGCGAGAGAATGGGAAAAATATAAAAGTAGTAAGCTTACCTTCTGATGTTATAATTTTTTCTAACTGGTGTTCGATACAAAGGACATCCTAAAAGGAAATTTGGTACTGTTTGTTTGTTTTATGCTAAGTACAAAACTAGACGTTAGTCTATCTATGTTGTGCCCAGCACGGGTATCGAAACTCGACTTACAGCGTTATAAACGTTCAGACTTTCTGCTAAGCCAATTAGCTGTAATTTAATATCAGGGATGCCAATTGTATTTTATGTATAGTTTGCATAAAATATTTTTATAAAAAAGTAACAATACTAAGAAACTTGAAACTGTTAATTAATGTCTATAATTTTAAACTCCTTTTTTTGGGAATTTGACTTAAAATATATGAATACTTTAATCACGTGTACTTTCTTTACGTATGTGTAAAATAAATACACATATTTAGGTAGAAATATCGTGAACAAGAATTATATTCACGTTTTCTCAAATAGTGGAAGCTAGTTTACCCAACTCTATTTGTAAAAATTTGAGAACTAAGCGTATGGAATTTTCATGCTAACCAACATTCGTTACTGGAAGTTAACTATGTAACCATTGAACATTTTTTACGCTTTCACCCACAACAGTTATATTACTCTGGAGTGCTCTCATATTTCTTTCCTCAAGAACATTTTAACATCCTTGTGGGTTTTCCTTGGAACGTCAGCTTCATCAGTTGAAAAGAAAGAAAACACATTATGTCGTGCGTGCTTGGTGGAGATATTCTGAGTGTAATCGCCCACTAATCTCTTCCACATGTGTTTGGTGGGATTTGTAACCCACTAAGATTCGCGTCCATCAACACAAACGTCGAGAAAGTTACTGGACGTGAGAAACTGGTCAAATTTGGTCGTTTGCTAGGAATGTTGTCTATTATCACTGCTAATTAGGCTTAACTTTACAGAACCGAAAACAGAGCTGTAAAGAATAACAAATATTAAAATTATTACACTTTATTTTTCTTCACCATGAACTAGATCCTTTATACAAAAAGGATGACTATACAGAGGTTTAAAATCGAAGCTTGACAGTTCACAGCTGTCTTTTCTGTTCATCACAAATGGTATTAATGAAAAAAAAAGGAACTTTCAGCTTGAGCTGAAATATAGATCCCTACCATATTAGCCGTACAAACTACTTCAGCAAGAAATTTATTTTATTTATTTTATTAAGCTCTCCGTTGGGCCAGCTGTAGGTTTAAAGACTTACAACGCTAAAATCCGGGGTTCGATTTCCCGCTGTGAACAAAGCGCAGATACCCCATTGTTCAGTTTTCCAAAAGCAATTATCAAATTAAGTTTTTCAAGTTGTCGCTTATTGTAAGAAGTGGTTTCTTTGACTACTACATTTCATGGTTTATGAAATAGTTTTTATCTGAGTAAAAAAAAAATTCCAAATAAAAACATTATATCAGTTTATTCATTTATAAAACTGTTAGTAAATGTATTTTCGTTTCCCGTTGTTTATTAAATTAATAGCCATAATAACACTGCCCTCCAGTTATGACAAACCTCTTGCAGTAGTAGTTTTTATTACATACACAAAGAAAATTCAGTTCCACGATATATTATGTGATCTAAGTATTGCATGACTTTTCTATATACGAAACCGTCTTTAACTTGTAAAGTATTTGATATGAGTTCAGATTCCGATAAACTACTATATTCTTATATATGCTGTGAGGTTTTCAATCCACATTAATACTACTGTCGATATTAATATAAACTATCTAGATACGAAAGATAACCACAAACCATGTTTCAGTCCTTTTCATGTGAAACTTATAGATAATGATGATTATATACACGTTGTAAAAATTGTTGTATATATATATATATATATATAATACTATAAATTCATTAATCCACATTTCAACTTCTGTTCTGGTCATCCTATGGTACCTTGTTGAAAGTTGTTTTATTGAAAAGGTTATTTCTTAAGTATTTTTTGAGGAATTTCATAAAAGGATGTTCTTCAGAAGCTTGTCTATTTTTCACAGTACGGGCTGTTTTTATTTTCTTACAATTTAATTCAAATAAGCAATATTTCCAACTAAGATAATCAGTCTTGCGAAGCTTATTTGCAGGAAATTTATATACATCTTAAAATATACAAGTATTAGATAACTGATTATATGTTGTCTTTAATAATGAACTTGATTATTATCGAATGTTAATATTCATAATCGCTAACCTTATTAAAAACTCTGCAGTTTCAGTCACGAATTAATTGTTAATAGAATAAGAAACTCTATAAAATATGTAACATTATGTTGAGAATATTGTTTGAATCTGTATATTATGATTATGTTTATTAATTCTGTGCTATTCTATTCATTCAACAGTAAATTTTTAGATATATATTTTTACTAAAGATATTTTGTTTATCTCGATAAACTCGTGAGGTAAGTCTTTAAAAATACATAGTATTTGATATTGTCTTATGACTTTGCTGTAATATTTTTTTATATTAGGGTTGGTTGGTTGTAATTAAGCACAAAATTACATAATGGGCTATCTGTGTTCTGCTTACCAGGAGTATCAAAAACCGGTTTTTAACGTTGTAAATCCGTAGACGTACCGCTGTGGCAATGGGGGAATTGTATTTGAATTTTATAACAGTAGTCACGTGATGATAAACTTGTATTTCATATTTACCGTTATAATAATTGTTGATAATGCAAACAAATATACGTCTTATTTGTTGGCAACAACACCATAATTTTAGAACTATGCATTTAGTAACTGACTACTATTCCTTGTTATCTTTTTGAACATGTGATTTAACTATTACATTTTGGATATTTGAAATATTGTTAAAGAAAAGAATCAGAGGTACCACCGTTAATTGTAATATCACATATAAATATTGCTAATATAATACTAAGTATACTAATTTACATGTGTTGAATGGAGATACAAAAGGAATTTTAGATAAGATTATAGGACTAAATCTTAACTGTCTACATACATAAGTAAACGTGTTAATTTTAAAATTAATTTAGACGTACTCTTTCAGTCTAAAAGAATTAATTGTCTAGACCCAGATATTTAATTTTATCACTTATTTCAAATGTTAGACAATTTACATTAGCTCTATTATCAAAATGTTAAGAAGTGATAATATATTCTCAGATCTCCTGAAATATGTCTATCTGGTGCATGGATACCCACCATTTTAGTTTTTGTTAATTATGTTTATATAATTATTAATCAGCTATTTGTTTAATTTATTAAGCCACTATGAAGCTTTTCAACAGCTACTTCCGTGTCACAGTCTTTAAGCGCCAAAGTATCATCAGTATATAAGTCTATTATAAAAGTCAAAGTCTATTTCCGTGATATTTATAACATTATAAAAGTAATTTCTTAAATCGCAATTTTTGGGTACGCCAACTGATAAATGCTAGTATTATATGTTTTAAAAGTTTTTATATCAATGTAATAAATAACCGTTACTTCCAACATTGAGTAAACATAAATATCCTTAACCATACATACAAGGGCTTGTTTATCTTTGTGTCACCTGTTTTAGACACTATGGATTAAATCCTTAAACGTACAAAATGGTTGCTTGAACAGTATGGAAACAAATTTCATGTAATCGTCCGCCATATTGTATTACTTCAGCCGTACTAACAGTCGTAAATACAAATCACCAAGTGACGCTAGCAAATTGAAAGTGTTATATTTAACACCGCCCTTGTAAAGTGCTAAACATATTTTAGTTTCAGAGTATTATTTTCTTCTCTGTACGTGTTGTAAACTAACAGATGTTCTGTAACCACATGCCATGCTTCATCGTATCTTTAGAGAGTGCTTTAATTAACAACGTTCGTGCATTTTTTAAAAACAGAACACAGAGTAAATTTGTTTATCTGAAATCAAAACCTCGACTAATTGGGAGAAGAAACGAAATCAAAGATTTATAAGTCGTTTTCCATACTCCCATGTGGCGTATGAACCTATCAGAGCTATCTGCTCTTGACCCATAAGAGAGGTTGGACTAGAGTATAAATTTTCATGGTTGACATAATAAAGGGCTTGTTTTCATGACTCTTGACCGACATGTGTTAATAATTCTCCAAAAATGATTCTTAACACAATTTGTTAGGACAATAATTGCTTGTTGAATGGGTGGAATGATCCTCACAAATTCTACCTCATGCATCTTCACACGTTAATAACAGACTATGTTTCGTTATTTAAAACAAAACTGTCGACTTGTTACAAAATGTTAGAAAGTAGTTGTGTTATTTATTACTTTGAAAACTAGCATCGCATCATTGCGTCCATTTTATGGAGATGTCGTTGTTCCGCGATAAATCGTAAGTATTACGTAAGTACTGATAGTAATAACCTAACAAGTAACTTGATAACTACAGAAATGAGTCTCTGACACAATTAAATAGTTATATAATAAATGTAAAAAAATAAGTAACAAAGCGAATACCATATTATATTAAATAGTTATATCAATATTGAGGTTTTTATGTTCACACGAACATATATTATGTTTTAGAGATTAAAGGAAACATCACAATGTTATCATTTCATTTTTGAGACTCTTTGATGACGTAGGGTATTTTAGGATTGTGGTTTTTCTTAGGATATCAAACCAAAGCTAATGACTAACGACTTTGCTTTTTCACTTCGTTGGTGGCCATGCATTGAGGAAATTAAAGACTTCAGTGTAATTTACTGTTGTAAAAACAAACCAAGAAACAGATAAACCAGTAATATAGTTCAAGGCTAATATATTTTTTTAAGTGATAGAAGAGATGACACCATGTCGCCTCAGTTTTAACTTGACCCGTATTTTACAATTTTAGAATTATTGTTGTTGATTAACTTGATTGTGTTGAATAGTTTGATCAATAAATCAGTTATAACATTTAACTGATTATAATTTGAAACAGTTTTAAAAAATGAGATTTCATTGCATGTCAATTATTTAAGATTTCATTGCATAAAAAATAGAAATTGATTAAATACTTGGAATGAACGAAAGTTCCGTTTTAGAAACGTATCGAACTTATATCAAAATATATATCACTCTACAGTTATCAAGGAAAACAGATTGTGATGAATATCTGCCAAAACGCCACATACTAAAACAAAATTTCTCTACAGTTACTAAGGAACTGATTCTGATTAATATCCGCTAAAAGACCGTACACTAAAATGGAGTTTCTTTATAAAGGATAAGATATTACAGATCTTAATTTTAGAAATTTGAATTCTTGAATATGAAATCTGATCTTCTTTGTAGAAACGAGAAAACATATGACCAACAATAAAGAAATGTTCAAAACACAAAAATTACTTACTTCAACATTTTATAATAACGTAATAACAAAATACCGTAGATAAACTGTAGAAATGTTTAATTTAAAAAGATGATGGCCAATAAATATCACCAGATATAAACCATCGGTAGTATTTAGCATGTCAAACACCAACTAACTTGATTATAGTATAAAAGAAAGCGTTCTGTGAAATTAAATCACACGAAAAAGATTTGATAGAGACCCCTAATTAAGTTATGATTTAGTACAATTTTTTTACTAACCATCACTGGTGAATGTCATCGAGTCTACCTAACCATATAAGTTAAGCTACCAATGTAGACGGTCGTTTAAAGACGGCTTGAAGTTACTCTTGATATGTATATTAATTGCTAGATGGTACTGCAATCATAAAAATAATTTTTTGCTTGATATATATTTGAGGTGTGGACTGTTCTACAAACTTATAATTTGATACACATATTTTAATACTGACACTAATTACTACTTAAGGTACAGCAATAATTTGGAAAATTAATGTTGCACTCACAATGACAAATTAGCACGTATGTAATGTGCTTGAAGAACACTAAAGATTATTTTTGTTTTTATATTTTTTATAATAAAATTTCTGCTCCTTATTGCTGACAGTTAACTTGTAGAATGCGTTACTATAGCAACATAAAGTTACTGTTTCACAACGGATTTACTATTAGAAAGTGGATCAGCTATAAGTCTGAAGGCTCATAATGGTAAACAGTGGATTTGAAACCTGCAATGGGCAGAACACAGCCATTTGTGTAGCTTCATTGGGAAATATTAACAGACAGAGAAGCACAAAAATAGTAATCAACAAATTGTAATTTTCACCATTTAATCAGCTATAAGCCAAGAAAACATTTTTGTTTTCAGAATGACTGAAGTCATATCTGTCTGTAAATAAAAACTACACCACTGAATAAGAATATCAAAAGTTTTATTATGAAATGTTTCGAAAGAACGGAGGAATTTATAAGCATTTCACCTAATTTTGGTGTTTGAAATAAAATTAAATGCCAGGTTTTACTTTCTTTTCAGGAATACGACAAGAAAGTTGACGTGTCCGTTTATAATAATGTTACTCTTCAGAGGGCGCTAGAAGAAGCTGACTGCCTGGTGTCGAAAATGCAAAGTATTCAACCATTACAAAGAGATCTATCTCAACGGAAAGGGTAATGTTAATTATTTCTAAAATCTCACATTTGAATTAATGATTCCGTTTGAAAGTAAACTGAGAGTTACCCCATTCATTCTCTCTATGTATATACTTAATCTACGTAATATATGTATCTTACTATGTTATTTTGTAAGATTATGTACCTATGTACTTCCCAGTTAAATATATTTACGTGTTTGTTTATTTGTGTTATAAATAAATGTTAAAGCTTTATCCATATTTGATCTCTCGTCTCAAGATCTCCAGCTGTTGGTGAGAGCACTGATGGAGCTGACAACTTCCATGAAAGAGATGCGCCAACATATGGACATTCAGGTAATTTTTTACATGTTGTTATAAAATATGCGTAAAATAGTTAATAAAAAATCTTTTAAAACAATATAGAAATAATGCCAAAATCCAATTTAAGAAATAAATTTGATGAAAAAGAGAATTATTTAAAGCTCTGGATTCAATTGCAACGAACAACTGTATATACGTTTGACTTGTTTTATGAAATTATTTTAAAACAAGTGGTCTGTGTGCTGTTTCTTTATTGTTGAAATTTATCACCAACAAGTCACAAATACCTATTGTAAAGAATCGCAGCTCTTAAAAACCTGACAATAATGTTTGTGATAAGCAAATAATTTCAAATGGTTAAGGCTATTTTTTCATTGGCTGAAACTGTTTTTTTATACATCATATCAATGATTTATTCATAGGTAAAACTTTATAGGAGATGCAGTTCTCCGGAATTCGGTGAGCTGTTGAAGTTTCCACTTGCCTGTTTCACGACCGTTGAAAGCGAAAGGGCAAGGAAATAATTCTACCACAAGTAGTTGCAGCTGTTAAGCAGTCAGTAATGTAAAATCAGTCGGTGCCCACTGCTTGAATAAAAACGTGAATTCTAGAAATTTCAAATATGAAGTTAACAATGCGACACTCAAAACTTCTAATAGATTTAAATGCGTTACTTACAGTTTTCTATATATAAATTTCAGACACGAGAGACCAAGCTTCTTCGTGACACATTACAGAGGTGTGAGATGTGCAGAAGTAAGTGCCTTACGTAAACACTTATTTATACAGTACTGTGACTGGTTTTTTGAAATTTTTTTCAGACATAACACTATTTCTCATAGCTTATTTATTATGTCAGAACCATGCCATAAACAGTTAAAATGTCATTATGATCACAATAAAGTAAGTTAAAAATCATTTTATGTTTATTTGTTGTAACTCACAAGCTATCAAAATATAATTTTTAGCGTTACGAGACCATTGATTTGTCTCTGATCCACCGGTGAGGGGGGGATGCATATTTTAAGTGATATTTTTCTAATACAGATGTTATGTTTATTGAATATCTTTTTTAAGATAAGCACATAGGGAGCGGGACTGTACCATAATTGGCACTTTTGTAAATATATCCTTCAAATGTACTTGAGATACGAATTATGGATGTTTGTCATAGAGTTGGTAATCGGTTTGTTTCAACAGTACCACCACCAAGAATTACCTGTCAGGATAAACCGTGTTTTCCTGACGTCCAGTGCAGAGATACATCAAATGGTTTCCAGTGTGGTTCTTGCCCTCGTGGCTACAAAGGGAATGGAGTGAAGTGTGTTCCATTGGTTACATGTAATGACAGACCTTGCTTCCGAGGTAAGGAATAAGATTTCTACATTATAATTTAGTATAAAGCAAGGTTTAATTGGTTATTTGATATAATTCAGTCGATACATTTTCTGTGTGGGTTTACTGTTTTTCATAGGAGTGAGATGTTATGAGCGGGAAGACGGTGGATACCAGTGTGGATCCTGTCCACCAGGTTATACTGGTAATGGAATAAACTGTCGACCCTATGATCGTTGCGGTGATGAACCCTGTTGGCGTGGGGTCCAATGTTTTAACACGGACAGTCCACCAGGCTACAGATGTGGACCTTGTCCTACTGGGTTTACTGGTAACGGCACCACATGTGAGGATATAGATGAGGTAAGAGGTTTATTAATATTGATTAAATACACACAATGACATGTTTAAAAATACTTTGTTGATTTTACGAGGTAAATCTGCTCCTCCAATTTTGGCATAAAATTGAAAGATCTAACCGCACAGTGCTCTACTATGTTTCAACTAATGGAAAATGTTATCTTATAGATGTTTTGACATTCTTATGTAGATGAGAGTAAGGGTGTAGATTTGGTGTATCTGAATTTTCAGAAAGAATATGACAAGGTGCCACATAAAAGGCTTGTAAGAAACTAACCTCTATAGGTGTAGGGAATGAGTTAGCAAATTCTATAAAAGAGTGGCTGGATGGATGAAAGCAGAGGGTTGTTACAAATGGAGTTCAGTCAAACTGGATTAATGTCACAAGTGGGGTACCTCAGGGATCAGTCTTAGGACCTTTATTCTTTTTTATTTAGATTAATGACATAGATGAAAGGATGGTCAATAAATTATTTAAATTTGCAGATGATATTAAGGTCTTGGGTGTTGCTAACTGTGAAGAGGATGCTGCTGATTTACAAATGGATTTAGATCATTTAGTGAGTTGGGCAAACAAATGGCAGATGTGTTTT